TCGAATACCGCCGAGTCACGTGTCCCTCACAAAGTCAGTCCTAAGGTAGAACATGTCCTTTCCAACTCTTCAAAACGTCCTCTATGTAAAGTTTGCTTTCCTTGGGAAGAACGAGTTCTGTAAGGACATCAGCCCTACTGAAGAAGTTTTTGCCCGTTTTAACACGGAAATCAGGTATGAGGCGGGTGAGCCGGGCACGATCGAGTGCTTCATAACTATGTGACTGCAAAAACGCGTGTGGAAAATTGTTGTACTTTTGTGTTTGAAATAAAACGTTCAATACATTTCAAGATGTCGTAGATCTTGCAAGCTGCTTCTAAACCCTAGATATGCAGACGCAGTGCCTTTGAATTGAGCTCGCACATTCAAGCGCACAATTTTTTGGGCTCTGCAGAATATGGCTCCTTTTGGGCTACATAAATCTCTTGCATTTGGCTGCTTCTGGGCTACACTGTTTGGCTTTTGGCGGTTTCAGCTCGAAACTGCCTGGCAACCCTGGTTTGGCTATCTTAGGCAGACTTTCGAAGGGACGGCTGTGTGCGCGTTGTTTGGAGACTAGTTGAACGACGATGCAAGCGAAGCGGATTTTGAGGAGACAGCGAGCGGGACTCCGTTCAGTGCGGGAAGATGTCGGATACTCCGACTGAGGCGTCACTTCGTGTCTTCCAACGTGTTTGTGCTCGTGAATGACGGTGGTGCCGAGGGCTGTCGGTGTCGCCAATGCCATCCAAGCCACACGGATTTCCTCGCCTCTGCCGACCACGCAAGTTGCCGCTTCGCAGCCATCACTGGCGGGACCCAGGTTCGCTTCTCTCATCCGAGTAATTTTTTCTTTAGCTATTGCCTGTTTCGGCGTGTGTCTAGTATTTTTCGTGTTGAAAGAAAAACAATATGGTTTTATTAACATTGTTGGCTTTGCACCGAGAACCACTGTCTGCGCGCCGGTTAGTATTGTGTCAGCGCCGAGGATATGTAGCATCTGAGTTCATGTGAGGCGGCCGCAAGTACGAAAATAATAAATTGGATGCCGAGTTGGCTTTTCCGAAGAGCTTGGCTTGTTTATCCTGTGTATTAATTTAAACAGGTTATACTGGTTGGGAAGTCCACCGGCATGACCAGTATAACCAACATGACCAGCATGCCAAACTGGGCATGCTGGGGCAATAACCCAGCTCGAAGCTGGGACCAGATCAACCATCATGACCAGGATGCCAAACTGGGCATGCTGGGGCAATAACCCAGCTTGAAGCTGGGACCAGATCAACCACCATGACCAGCATGCCAAAATGGGCATGCTGGGGCAATAACCCAGCTTGAAGCTGAGACCAGCTTAAGCTGGTTTTTTCAATAGGGCGAAGCTAATGGATGAAGAGAACACACATATGCAAGCACTGTGTCGTTCCCATACCGTGTCAAGAGTTATCCGGGAGGAGACGGAAGCTTGGACGGTATCGTGGATATGCAAGCACCGTGTCGTTCCCATACCGTGTCAAGAGTTATCTGGGAGGAGACGGAAGCTTGGACGGTATCGTGGAAGTACGAAGCTAATGGATGAAGAGAACACACTTATGCAAGCACCGTGTCGTTCCCATACCGTGTCAAGAGTTATCCGGGAGGAGACGGAAGCTTGGACGGTATCGTGGAAGTACGAAGCTAATGGATGAAGAGAACACACATATGCAAGCACTGTGTCGTTCCCATACCGTGTCAAGAGTTATCCGGGAGGAGACGGAAGCTTGGACGGTATCGTGGAAGTACGAAGCTAATGGATGAAGAGAACACACATATGCAAGCACCGTGTCGTTCCCATACCGTGTCAAGAGTTATCTGGGAGGAGACGGAAGCTTGGACGGTATCGTGGAAGTACGAAGCTAATGGATGAAGAGAACACACTTATGCAAGCACCGTGTCGTTCCCATACCGTGTCAAGAGTTATCCGGGAGGAGACGGAAGCTTGGACGGTATCGTGGAAGTACGAAGCTAATGGATGAAGAGAACACACATATGCAAGCACTGTGTCGTTCCCATACCGTGTCAAGAGTTATCCGGGAGGAGACGGAAGCTTGGACGGTATCGTGGAAGTACGAAGCTAATGGATGAAGAGAACACACATATGCAAGCACCGTGTCGTTCCCATACCGTGTCAAGAGTTATCTGGGAGGAGACGGAAGCTTGGACGGTATCGTGGAAGTACGAAGCTAATGGATGAAGAGAACACACATATGCAAGCACTGTGTCGTTCCCATACCGTGTCAAGAGTTATCCGGGAGGAGAAGGAAGCTTGGACGGTATCGTGGAAGTACGAAGCTAATGAATGAAGAGAACACACATAGGCAAGCACTGTGTCGTTCCCATACCGTGTCAAGAGTTATCCGGGAGGAGACGGAAGCTTGGACGGTATCGTGGAAGTACGAAGCTAATGGATGAAGAGAACACACATATGCAAGCACCGTGTCGTTCCCATACCGTGTCAAGAGTTATCCGGGAGGAGACGGAAGCTTGGACGGTATCGGGGAAGTACGAAGCTAATGGATGAAGAGAACACACATATGCAAGCACTGTGTCGTTCCCATACTGTGTCAAGAGTTATCCGGGAGGAGACGGAAGCTTGGACGGTATCGTGAAAGTATGAAGCTAATGGATGAAGAGAACACACATATGCAAGCACCGTGTCGTTCCCATACCGTGTCAAGAGTTATCCAGAAGGAGACGGAAGCTTGGACGGTATCGTGAAAGTACGAAGCTAATGGATGAAGAGAACACACATATGCAACACAATGTCGTTCCCATACCGCGCAAAAATTGAACGAAAGGCACGGAGGAACGGCAAACAAAACGTCGACTTGGACAGTAAAATGAAAGTGGAGGGGTAATGGGCGGTATCATGAAACAACTAAGCTAATGGACGGAGATAGCACACATATGCTACACCATGTCGTTCCCATGCCGCGCAAAAATTGAACGGAAGGCGCGGGAGGAACGGCAAACAAAACGTCGACTTGGACAGTAAAATGAAACTGGAGAGGTAATCGGCGGTATCACGAAAAAGCTAATGAACAGAGAGAACGCACATATCTAACACCATGTCGTTCCTACGCCGCGCAAAAATTGAACGAAAGGCACGGGAGGAACGGCAAACAGAACGTCAGCTTGGTTAGTATCATGAAACATCGACAAAACACTTGCGTTGCATTTTGAGGTGAGCGCGCTGGTATCAGTGAGAACGTAAGAAACAACTATACAATGTAAGAGCACACCGGAAAAGATTTTCACGCGCTTGCTGTTGCTGCAGGCTTAATGCTTTCTCATTTTTTCGCTTTCTTCGTCTTCGGTGCCTTCTGGGCTTTCTCCCTAATTGCCTCAAGGATGTAGTCAGGGTCCCTGATGGGCATGCTTCGACTTTGTCGGGGATCAACGATTTCTGGAAGCAGACAGTAGCGGTAAAACTTCTGGAGCTGTGGGAGCATCTGAGTTTCCCAGAACTGATCGTCTCGAGCGATTTTCTCGATGGAGATGTCGCTTCCCGTCCATATAACGAAGAGGCAAAACTGACGCCCTGTGATGTGCAGTTGTCCTTGAACTTGGTACCAGAAGTTGTGCGTCCTGATGAGACTGAAACGTCCATCTGTTTCCGTGACACACTTGATCTTCTTCTGCTTGACTCCCTCCAACACAGTGAGGCCACGGGCTGTGTAAGAAGACTTAACCTCAACCAGGCTGTCGTCATTCACCAGCCCATCAGGGCTTGCTCCAAGGTACGGGTGCTCCCGATCAACGAAAAGCCCACACTTTTCTACAGAAACTCCCATGTCAGCCTCGAGCCTTCTTAGAGCCAGAGGCTCTTGATCGTTGCCATACTGTGTTGCTGGTGAACTGAATTCCTTGTAGAGAAGCCCTACCACCGTCTTTGCGCAGCTTGTTGTTGGCTTCATCTTACAAACCTTGCCGAAGGAGGAAGCAGTCAGTCGCTTTTTCCGCTCCTCTTTCCATCTCGGGCATGCGGCCTGTCCCTGAGTGGCCCGTTCGAGCTCCGATCTACCCTCAACCGACAGACTAAGAGACTCCAGAAATACCTGACAAGTGTGCTGGAACGTCTCTGGTTCCATGTCTGGTTGCTGTGCCTGAGGGCCATAATCTGCGTCAGGCCCACAACGCCTAGAGGAAGATGCCATGATCAGGCAGCGTCTTGCACGAGGCTGCTGCAACAGCTTTCGCTTCTTTCTCGCAGCCCGACGCGATGCCAGCGCCATCTGATACACCTTCGTGTATTTTCCGGGACTCTTCTTGCACACAGATTTGTGAACTGCTCGGTGATACCCTCCTGGCGAATTGAAAGCGACAGGGGCTCCAAGGCAACGCAGTCGGTACGACCCCCTTTGCGAGTAGTTAATACGCTTGCCGCCAACAAACTTCGCCACCAGAGAGTTCACATGCTCTGCTGAGTTGTTGTCAACGTCCAGGATCAGGCTGCTGGCATTGTTGGCAACACGATTTGCTGCAATCGCGACCTCATCGTACAAGCCACATCGCTTCAGTTCAGGCACATGATTCACTTCTCCTGGCTTTGGGCCCTTGCAAAAGTATGGGGCACAATTGTCGTGCTGCCCAAACACGTGACTTGGCCCATTTCGAATGTCCCTTGCCAAGTCCTCGGTTTTTGCACGCAAAGGACGATCCTCACCTGCTGCTCTCGCTTTGATGGCCGTGGCTACACCAAACCTCAGACGAACTGAATTCTGCAGGACGAGGTTCCTCAATGCTGCCGGGACTGGTGTCGACCTCTTTCTCTGAGCTACCTCTCTAAGGTGTCCACTGTAGTTACGGAGGATGTGATTCCTGCATTCAATCTTTTGGACCACCTGGTTTCCGTATGGAGCCGCTTCCAAGATTGCCCTATATGTGCTGGAATCACCATCTGCAATGAGACGAGTGTATTTGACGCCATGCATCACGACGCTTTGACGGAAACCTTCAACAATTATGTCCTTCTCCATGCCCGTTCAGCTCCCCTGCCAGTTCTTGAAGCACCTGTGGTCTGGCGGCGTTTCTCCGGGCTTCGTTCTTGCGCACATTATGCAAAACTTGTTCCTGACGCCAAGGAACAGGACTTTGTGGGTACTGTGGCCAACAATAGCTGCCTGCGTGAAAAAAAAAAAAAAAAGGTGAATAATTGTAATAAGTGATTACCGCGCGGTCGGATCATGTAGGCTAATCGCACAGTGCTACAAGACAATTCGAGCATTGTTAAAACACTGTTTAGCTAAGTAAGATAGTTATCTTTCCTGGTCTCTAGAATCGTCATGCTTTATTTATTAAGTTGTAAAACCGGGTGTTTTTTCTAGTTGCACCAAATGTATAACATGATAAATAAAGAAAGAAAAGTGGCATTAGGGACTCTTTAAAAGAAATGACTTGGGGGTAACTAAGAACAAGGTTGTTGGTAGAATTATGCGGCTAATTAACGGAGATATTTAGTTAACATTTTAATTAACTTTTAATTATTGACTTTAGAGGGCATATTGCAGTTACGAAATTGAAGCTCAACCTCCGTATGCTCCAACCGCATGCTGAAATTAACACAGAAAAAATCGCTGCAGGTGCTACCGGACAAATTATTCGATGACGCTGTCATACCTTTCCCTTAGAGTTACGGTTTGCAGTGGTGTAATAGTTTGCCCGGTAGCACCCGCAGAGATTTTTTGTGAGCTTATTTCAGCGTGCCGTTGGAGTATACGGAGCTTGGGCTTCAATTCCATATCTGCAATATGCCCTCTAAAATCAATAATTACAAAGTTAATTGAAATGCTAATAAATTAAAACAATTCTAAGTCCTTGTTAAATAGCCGCCTGACTGCACAAAAACCTTGTTCCGACAGTCGGTTACAAGTCAAGAAGGTAGGAGAAGCTCCTCCCATAAGCGTGATGCGCCCGTTTCAAATCCATCCGCAGTTGAAAGAATAGTTCACTGGACACGCCCCTTGTTCCGCTTCAATGAATAGATATCGGCTACAGAGTGATGTCAACTAGGGAGCCGTCATGTGCGCTTTGCTAGGGTGATACCACCCTTTGTAATACCACTCGCCGACAAACCAGCAGCCATTTTGGTTCTCGACGATAATCCGTGGGGCTTATAACCCTCCCGGAAACGAGCACCTTATCTCACAAGTTCGGAGCAGCGTTGTGGAACCCACGGAGGGAGGATTAGCATTTTGCCCCTCGGATGGGAGGACCGATGGACACAAAGGCCACTTTCCGGCGCACGGGGAAACAATGAGAGGAACAAAATGGCGGTGGAAGAGGGTGTGGGAAAGAGAAACAGGCAGTTGGCATCACTCTATGCGAAGCACACACGAAGGCACCCTAATGCCAACTTGTGACCTTTGTATTTCTCGGAGAGGGAACCGAACCCCTCAAAGGGACATTTGTATCCATCGGAGGGTGGGAGTTCTAATCTACCTCTTGTGGCTTTCACAATGCTAAGTCGAAGTCGAAAGATAAAGCAAATATTCACAGGAAGGCAAAACCCTCTCTCACGACGTCTCGGAAACAATGAGACGTGATTCGATGCGGAGGTGGTATTTGCCGCTACCTTCTTGACCTGTAACTTACTATACTGACACCCAAGTCGGGTAAGGTAATGACAAAATTAAAAGCATACTAACCAGGCACTTAGCCAGGATTTTGTTTCGGGGGGGGGGGGGGGGGGGGGGGGGAGAGAGCCCATGACAAAATGCTGTATGAGAAGGAGGGAGGGGAGAGAAGGGGGCCTCAGCAAAATGAAAGATTGCCCCCCCCCCCCCCCCCCGGGCTACGTGCCTGGTCCTAATGCTACTCTTTTTTTTATTTTTCATGAAATACGTTTGGTGCAACTAAAAATATATTTACCCTATAGCACGATTCTTTCTCATTCAGGCAGCGTTACAAACAATTAGAATAAATAATATATAAGGCGTTTTTAGAAAGGTCGATAGAACTTTCCAATAAACGCCTTCTACGAGCTGTCATCTCTCCTTACTAGACTATGGGACGCCTTCTAAGCATGCGTAGTAGCTCTCCTCCGCGAAATATCACACGCTGCGCCTGCGCTGCGTGCGATATTGCGCAGGCACGCAAGCACGCGAAAACGCGCACTTTCATGCGCGCACATGGACACGCATGCAGGCAGCGACCTGCACGCACATGCAGGCACGCGTACGCAAGGCCACGCACGTACACACACATGGGCACAGGCATGTACACGCCCGCGCGTGCAGGCGCAACACGCACGTTTAATTATGCGCACGCAAACACGCACGACCATGCGTGCGAACGTAAGCCCAAGTACATACGCGCCCACTCAAGCACGCACGCGCCAGCACACACGCACGAAGTAGGCCCGCATACGCATGCGCGAACACAGGTACGCGGATGTACGCGCACGCACGCGCAAGCACGGATGCGCATTCACGTACGCACGGACAAGCCCGTGCACACGCACGCATTCGCACATATGAAGGCACACGCCCACGCGTGTAAAAACCCACGCACATGCACGTATAATAATGTGAACACAGACAAGCGCGACGCGCGCATTTTAATTAACTTTTAATTCACGCGTAGGCAGGCAAACACGCATGTACAAGCACGCACAAAAAATCTCGCGCGTGCACGCGCACACGCAGACACGGACGCGCACTTACGTACGCAGGCGCGAGCACGAACATGCATGCACATAATAGAAAAATTCGACGAAACGTCATAAGGTGTATCGATGAAACGAACGCCGGCTATTTCCGACGGAAGGATTTATCGATGCAAAAGTGCATCTTCGAAGAAACGAGCTGTCTATGAAACGTCATTCGACGAACTGATTGCATGGCACCGCGTATATTCGGAATGTACTACATAAAACAGAGGTCACTAAAACAGGCACACAAGAAGCATAACTGTTTTCAATGCTTCGTGAGAAATCGTCGGACCCCAGTTGCCGAAACAAATCTTGCATTCACAGAAACACAGGTACAATAAAGCGGCATTCTAACCACGGTCATCTCCTCATAAAAATAAACTACGCATTGTCAAATGCTCAGCCTCCGCCCAAATGCCGCCTAGCGACAGAGACTGAGCGTTCGACAATATATAATGTATTTTCGCGGCGAGAAAAACATGCTTCGGATTTCTTTCGAACGCACTCTAAAGAAATGCATATTATATCTATGATCAAAATTTGCATCCCTCTGAGAGGAAGAAATGTAGTACTTACCATGCCAGAAGGAGCGTCGTATTTGTTCTTGTAAGATCGCTTTGACCATGCACCGTCCGCAACGACGGTCACAAGCGGACAGCCTTCGGCATCGATCTCGCCAGATTCCCTCGCGCGCCTCGCTTCTTCAACTCCGGCCTGTTGCATGGCTTGCCAAGCGGCATCTTCAACACCCCGAGTCAATTCCTTCTCGCAGTTCGCAAAGGTCTTCCTGGACATCGCCGGCACATTCATTGAAGCTAAAAGCTCTGCCAAGTTCGATAACTTGCAACCAACGGAAATTATTCCCGAGACCGCGGCAGTGTTCACGTCCATGCGAGACTTTGCTTCCGCTGTGTGAGGAAGTACCTCAGACTCAATCACAGCCTTTTTGTTGCACATCTTGCAAACGAACGTGAAGGAACTGTGCAGCCCGCGTCTCTGTTCGGACACGAACGCCATGTCTGCGAACGAGCAAGAGAATGGGGCATGGTCGCAAGCTCCTTGTACCGACCGAAACAAATGACCGATGTCGACAACGCGACGACCCTCCAAAACGGACGTGGATGCTTGCGCTTGTTCTGAAGGTCGGATCACATCTTCATCCACACAGAAGCCTATTCGTTCTGAAGAACCGCCTGGTTCCCCTGCAGGTTCTACCTGTTCGTCAAGAGCGAACGGCGAGTCTTCCGCGGTCGCAGCACCAGCATCGCCTGGATTTCTCTCACAAACTGAACCACGAGCGCTACGACACGATGACTCAACCTCACCTGAAACCTCACCATCCGTAGTTTCAGCAGAGGGTCGCTTACGAGTAAACTCTGTTTGCGACTTCAAGACCTTTCGCTTGCCATATTTATACCTCTTTGGACCCATAGCTGCGACAACGGCCTTTGAAAACACGCACAGCTGTCCGCCTGACACCCACTCCGAAGAACAAAACCACTCTGACTGGACGGGTCTTGCCGTCTCTGGACCACCACAAGCGCGTTACTGAGAGCGCATGCGCGCGGAGTAATACAAAATCAGGGCAGCCTGCGTGGCGGAACCGTGGCGCCCTCACGCGCCGCTCTTCGAACTAGTCGTGACCGTCCAAACAAGGAAAATCAAGCCACATCACCTTGGTTCAGTTTTTTCCACGTAGTTACAGAACGGATGTACTTACAGCTATAATTCGAATATAATTGAATTCCGTGTTAAATTCCGCAGATATTCCACCAGAAACATTTGTAGTTCGAAATTCACAGGTTTTTAAAAACGCGTTCTAACGTTAACATGTCAAAACAGCCGATTCCAACCGATTTCACGATTTAATATAAAATATAATAAAATTTTTTATGAAAAATATGCTCGGTGGGATATTTGGACGAAGAATCAATCTTTTTATAACAAAAAAGTTTGAAAAAATCGGAGTAGCGGTTATTAAATTAGAATTTTCGTAAAATGGCAGAAAATCGCGTGTATTCTCTATGGGGCTTGGAGGAGCGCTCGCAAAGGGACCAATCGCCATCTTTCATCCCCGCGACCCTAGCGCCCTCTATTCAGAAGCGGTAACTCGAGCAGTTCGTCCCGCGGGCATTTCGTTGCTCCCGCTGGAGTTGATCCCCTAACGAATACTTTAGTCCCCTCGCCAATAATGGCTGCCGCAAGCATTCTATGAAGTGGACGAAGCATCACTCGAGTAGCTATTTTGGAAAGAAGCCTTGGCAAAACAAGATTTTGGCCCCGGGATTTAGAAATTGTGACTACACGCGCATATTCGTTGAATGTTTCCGGCCGCGAAAAACATGAGAACGGAATCCGAGCGACGCCGAGGCGCCGGAGACGAGGCTACCTACTCTCCGACTGCCGCGCGCGCGCCCGAGTTTGAACTGGAGGTGACGATTGACCCAGTTGACCTGTGGCGGTGCGGTGGAAGCCTCGTCGGATGCAGTCGGAGTGGCGACCGATTGGACGGTGAGTTTTGATTGCTTTGGCTACTTGTTGAGCAGCAGAAATGTTATAGTCATTTCAGAACGTACTTCATAAAGTCGCAGGGTTACCCTGTACGATAGGCGCTCGCTCTCTGACGCGGTCGGGCTCGTACTCGTCTATGTTAGCGTGCAAACGAGGCCTAGCACTTCAAAACTAGACCCGGCGGCAATCAGTTCATCAAACAAACGTTGTTACACCGGCAGATGGTTTCGTCGACGCAGCAGCGTTTTAATGCCACTTAGGTTCATCGAAAAGTACCCGTGTTCGTTTCATCGACCAACCTTGCGACGCTTCATCGGAAGCGTCTTTCCGCACATATCGCCTCGGTCGGCGACCAAGGCGATGCGAGCTTGACGAAACCGTTGCGGTTCGCATGAGGCCTGGTGCGAGCTCGCGCCTCGAGAGTAAAGTTTCGCGCTTACGCTCTTAGGCGAAATGTATGGTCGTATCCGATATGCGTAAATAAACATGTTCTCGATCAATATTAAAGTGTCTCCGAGCGGAGCGAAGGGTTTCAGCGCGTGGTGCGGACGGTTTGAAAGCGGCGATCGCCAATTCATTTGTGGCGTATCAGAGTCGCCTGGGCAAGTCCGCTTTAGTTGAGGTAGGTTTGCGGCGAACGAAATTAAACCAATAATGCAATCCCCGTGGTGAACGAAACAAAACAAACTCGACGAAACGTTGTAGGAGCACGTATCGACGAAATTGAGCGGTGCCGCGAAGTCGTGCACGCGCGCGTTTAGTGAAGCATTATTTTATGTTTTTACTTTCTCTGCGGGTTTCCTTGTGTCTTTCGGCCCTCTATGTTTCGGCCGATGCTGGTCGGCTCCGCGGCGCAGTTTGCTTTCGCCCTGTGTAACTTGTGCTCGTGGCTTCGAAATGTGTGTTGTATTCTTCAAAGCTGCTCTTGTGATCTTCGTTCAAAAGTTTTTTTTTTTTTTTTTTATGCTTGTTATTGATAGCTGTGTTCCCTTTGGGCTCTGAGCATTTTCATTGCTTTGGACTCTAAGCATTTTCAAACAGTCCGGTTAGGACACGCGTGTCGAAAAATAAATTTTACGCGAATAAACAAAAAAAAATTAGACTAATATTTATTTATTTATTTATTTATTGAAAATACATGCAGGGCCCGAAGGCATTACAGAGGGGGAGAGGGACATACATAAAATAAAGATATTAATATAGTAACAAGTGAACAATATTAAATATGCAACAAACAAAAAAAAAATCGACAGGTCATGGGTCACAGACGCGATTTAGTCGGTAGTCACGTCCTTTCCACTTGTTTTCTTTCGGGTGCGGGGAGGAGAGGTGGATTGCCTTGGCCATCGCGTTGAGGTGGAGAAATAGTATGCCAAACTTATTGAGGGGAAAATTGTGTATTATTATTCCGTGACGTCATGAAATTAATAGAAAATTAATCTCGCGCCGTCAATATTGCTAAAAAATGTTTTTGCGCAAAATTTATTTTTTTGGCACTTGTGTCCCTTATAAACTGTTTAAAAGAATTCTTTTTCAGGGTTCCTTTAGGGTGCAATTTTCTCCTCTGGTCTGTCATTCGATTTCGCATTAATAAATTCTGGTTATGACAGACACTATGCTTTATGACAGTATCTTACATAAATAATAGAGTATTACCACATAGCATCGTCATTTTGGAACAGAAGTAGCTGCAATCAAAAATAAAAACAAGTCACGTAAAAATAAATTTGCACATGCCATGAACAGTTATCACGACACACAATGTTGCTTCAGCTTCATTTAAAGGACACTTTAATTTTGAGTTGGCCTAGCACCTCCTAAATACCAATACCTTAGCCCTTAATTTTCTTTCTCGGTTATCATATTTCAGTGCAGGGTATATAGTGGACAATGCTATGTTAGCATTGGCCTAGAACTCGTGTTCAGTTGGTGAGAATACGTGTTCCAGCTGAATGCAAATGCAGCACTTTTTCCAGTCAGCCTTGCGATGACCTATGAGAGGGGGTAGAATCCAGCAACACTAAAGCCTTGCGATCTAGGAGGCATTGAACTAACTGACTAATCTTTGATTATTGAGCTCCTTAAACTATTGATTTCGCACTTGTAGGCTTCTTTGTCTCTTGAATGTTATTAAAATAACTACTTTTGATGTAGCAAAAAAAAAAAAGAAATTCGACCACAGGTGGAGAACAGACATATGGAAAAGGGTTGATTTATGAGGTTTAGGGCGAAAACGAGCTGGTGCTAGATAATTAAGACTATGTCTGCCTGTCCTTTCTTTTTCGAAATCTCTGAGTGTTTTTACTATGTTCAAGGTTGGTTTACTTCGTTCCTTCTAATTTTCAGAAGCTGCAAGCATCCTCGCTTACGACTGAAGATCGGAATTTCCTAGCCGGCCACATGGACGCAATGAGAAGAGAAAGGAAGGGAGCTACTACGTATATGGAGATGGTGAAAGATGCCATGGAGAGGACTTTTGGGCAAGGAGGGTACATCAGCATAAACCCTACAATCTTCAACACCGTAGACGACTATCCAGCCCTAAAGCTCACAGACAAGGTAATATGTTGCTTACTAACGATGTTGCTCATGCTTTTAGGAGCAGTAAGTTCCCTGATAAGACCACGACCACCCCCATTATGGTGCATTCGCGCTGCGAGCGAATGGAAGCTCCTGCAGGGAGATCTCGGTGACGCGGTTGGGGAAAATGTTCCTCAACGCACAGATCTGCTTTGCAGTTGCGGCTCCAGTCCTGGCATAAATGCGCCGTTAGTCCTGTCATGGTGAAGTCTGGCACCATGATGGGTCTCCTTTTTTATCCCACTTACATCAATTACGATTTTGTTACAACTGATAAGTCACGATTTTTTTCGCTTTTTCTTTTAAAAAGAGCAGTTTACAAATATCTTCAAGTAGACTGAAAATGTGAAAATAATGTTTCTTGCAGATCTTTGCAGTGTCTTTTTGTATTAGTACTGGCGCCAAGGCAAAGGAGCGATTTATGAATGTTGCCTCAGAAAACCTGCCAACTGTTTTCATGGTGACTGAGGGAAAACCAAGACCGGCCCTGTTCTGCGAGATCATTGTAAGGCTTCATGATGTAGAAGACATAAAAAAAGGTGCACTTTACCCTTTGTTGTATTACACTTTTCTTTTTCAGCACATTTGCAGTAAATGAAGTTGTTCGTCTTTTGCTATTAATTTCCTTCCAAGGGCTCAGCTTACGGGTTGGCAGAAACTACAGGCTCTCTGGACAAGTATTTCATTACCTGACCCTGCCCTCATGCACATGTGTATGCGCAGAAAGCATGGTCACCAGTTTTATGATCGACAGCTGGCTGGATCTGAGAGCATACCCAATGTGATAACAAGGTTTAAAATGGCACTGCCCTGCCAACCTGTTGGAAGTTTTCAAGAGAGCAAGCACACTGTCCTTGCCCTGTTGCTCAATTCAGTGGGAATTCAAGTTCAACGTGCCTTTAAAAAAAATTCTCCTCATAGGCCACTTCTTGCTTGCCTTTTTTATAGCAGCATTATAAGAAAATACTTGAGTTTTAGTTATATTTCTGGAGGGCTAGAAAACCGAGCAAATAGCTTTATATTTTGGTAGGTTCCTCCTGCTGAGCGAGATTTGGTGCAGCTGAGATGTATCTGATCGTAACTGGCCAACCAAAAACACTGCACATTCTGAATTAGTTGGCTTATGTGGAAAATTGGGGTACTTCATACTTGTTTTTATTCCTTTGTTTATTTTAAAGTAAGTATTAACAGCACTTCTCAAAGCACGGGCAAAACTAAAGGTGATCACAAGCATAATGAGATGTGCTTGGAACGAATTACTTTCAGAAAACTGATAACAACATCATAGTCTTATTAACTGGCACTTCCTCCATGGCAAAAGCAAGCACCACGAGTCTTTT